CTCACTAAGTTTCCCAGACTGGCCTTGAACTTGGAATCCTCCTGCCTCAGCCTCCCCAGAAGAGATACTATAGGTGTGCACCACTACACTCAACTGCTTTTTATGCCTTAATCTTAAGAAATAAGAGGACATAGCCAGCTCAATGTAATATCTTCAAAGTGTTAATCATTTAAGCTTGGTTATTTCTAAGGAAGAGGTAGAACACTGGAACCATATGAAAAGTTTAGTAGGCTTTTATAGAATTCCAGGCTTAAGAGAAAGTGGGGCTAGGATGACAGCAGAAATGGAAAAGAATATATTTTGAAGACTTGCTGGGTATCAACGATTAGAAGACAACCCAAGCTAAGCTAAAGCAAAGGGGGGGGGGGGAATTTATTGCAGGACTATGAGTTTATTTCAAAGTAGCCAAGTCACACATCTTAGAACCAGGATTTACAGGTCTTTTTTACAAAAGTGTTCAGAAAAAGGTTAAGGAAATACCAAGATACTTTCATAACTTGAGCAATTGTAAGGAGATAATGAAAAAACTTAGATTAATCCAGATAGATAGGAGTGTGGGTCATTGGGTGTTACTGTGCCTGCCTGTAATCCCAGCAACTAGGGAGGCTGAGGCAGAAAGATCACCAATTAAAGGCCACCCTCAGCAGTTTAGCAAGACCCTAAACAATTTAGTGAGACCCTGTCTCAAAATTTAAAAAAGGAGCCAGGTGTGGTGGTGCACACCTTTAATAAGTTGGATCATGAGTTAAAAGCCTTAGCATTTATTTAGCAAGGTTCTTTTTTTTTTTAATATTTTTTTAGTCGTTGGCAAATCTTTATTTTATTTGTTTATATGCGGTGCTGAGAATCGAACCCAGGGCCTCACACATGCCAGGCAAGCGCTCCACCACTGAGCCACAACCCCAGCCCCAATATTTATTTTTCAGTTTTCGGTGGATACAACATCTTTGTTTGTATGTGGTGCTGAGGATCGAACCCGGACCGCATGCATGCCAGGCGAGTGCACTACTGCTTGAGCCACATCCCCAGCCCCCTTAGCGAAGTTCTAAGCAATTTAGTAAGACCCTATCTCTAAATAAAATATATAAAAAAGAGCTAGGGATGTGACTCAGTGGTAAAGAACCCCTCTGTCCAATCCACAGTAGCATACACATAAAATGATAAATATTAAGAGAAAACCCATATGATTACCCAGATGCAAAAGAGATAATTTATAAAATTTAATGTACGTTTTGGGTGTAGTGACACACCTTTAATTCTAGCAATTCCATAGGTTGAGGCAAGAAGATCACAAGTTCTAGACCACCTCAGCAACTTAGCAAGACCCTAGCAAAAGTAAAAATAAATAAAAAGGGCTAGGGATGTGGCTCAGTGGCTAAACACTCCTAAGTTCAATCCCTGGTACAACAATAAATAAATATGATATACAGTTCCTGGAGAGTTAAAATATTAGGAAATATCCTTATATCAGTAAGTGGAATCTATCAGGAATTAGAAACAGGTATTTAACAATAGAGGCATGACCATGACTGTTAAAAGTCAGGAACAAAACAAGAATTGCCACTGTAACTCAATAGTCTGGAGGTACTAATCAACATGATGAGATTAAAAGGGGTGGGGAGAAACAACTAGCAGATAATCATCTAAAAAGCAATTTTTAAGTTGTTTCAAAGCAATTAAGACTGGGCTAGGAGTGTAGTTCTTTTCTCAGGAAAAGAACTCTTGCCTAGCATGTACGGCCCTGGGTTCAATCCCCAGTACTGTAAAAAAATTAGTACTAATAAGTGAACAGCAACTGCATGAACATGCCAAAATAAATAGCTTTCTTTCCCAGAAGTCAAAAGTTTCTGTGGTGTGAGCTCATTTTCATTGCTTTCAGTTATAAGCCTTTATTTTCCTAGGCAGTGAGTTTGCCCCAATCCCTGGAGTTCTTTTTTTTAAACAATATTGTATTTTTTATATGTTCTTTTATTTATTTGTATGTCATGCTGAGGATCAAACACATTGCCTCACACATGCTAGACAAGCACTGTACCACTGAGCTATAACCTCAGCTCCTTGGGGTTCTTGCTAAGGTTTAATCTCCCCCAAAAAAGTGCCTATTTAGGCAGTCTTAATTCCAGCCCCCTTAATCCCATCTCAGGTGTAATTTTCTGGCTCCTGATAGTACACATTAGTTTTTCAATTCCTTCAATATGTAGTCCTTCCTCCTTTATCAGACCCAGAAGTCCCCACATAGATTATACTGAGATTTAAACCTGGTTTCTATGGCTTTACAGCCAGAAGAGAAATGAGATCAATTGTGAAAGAGGTTTTACTGAAGGGAGTTAGTGCTTTCTCTTACTAGAAGTTATGAAGTGCTTCTGCAAGCTCTGAGGGTCCAGAGGTATCTTTAGAGCCAATATCCTAAGCCATCCAAGTTTCAAAGATTCAGGTTTTTCCAACCAGGATCTGTAAAGCTCTATGACTATCCAATCCCATGTCTACTCTTGCACTGCAGCAAAAAGAGCTTCTTTGTTAAGCTCCAGAGAGGTCCCCAGGCTTCCAAGGTTAGCCTCTAACTGAAGTGCCCTCAGTTTCTCCTTAACAATTTGCAAAGTATTACTTGCATTAGTAATAAACATTGTTTTTCCCATATCTTTCAAATGCCTGAATTGTCACATAGACAAATAAGTTCTCTCTTTTGATATGTTTTCCTATAATCACTACTGGTAAAAAGTCTTTATCACCAGGATGGTTCTGAGTAAAGCCATTCCACTACTCTCCAAATCTCATCTTACTGTTTTTTTGTTTTGTTTTGTTTGCACCACTCAGTGTACCACCTATGTAAGCTCTGGTCCTCAGAGAAGCAGATACCAGAAAGGGATTATGGTTGGTCCTCTGTATTCAGGGGTTCTGCACCTACAAATATAAACAACCTTGGATGGAAAAAGTTGGTATTTATTTGTTTGTTTATTATACTAGGGATTAATCTAGGAGCCTCTTTCCCTGCATTTCCCCAGGGACAAGAAGTCCATGGAATCAAGGGGACATGTCTACCTAAAACTCTCTCCACTTTGTAGCCTATTTCCAGGGTCTGCTAAATCCTCTTCCCAAGATACGTCCTCCTAAGACTATACTCAAGGAATGTAGAAAGGATTTAAGGCTGAGGTGTCCTCTAACAGTGGGCTCAAAAGTTGTCTCTAAATCTTTCACCCAAGACAATTATTTTGGGGTTTAAAATACATTTTGTGCACATCAATCACAGCAATTATTGAGCATTTATTGTTATGTATAACAAAGTTCATATTCTGAAGTTCTTTATAAAGAAAAGAAGTCCGGATTTTTGTGTTTGTTCTGGGGATTGAAATCAGGGACTCTTTACAGCTAAGCTACATCCCCAGTCCACTTCTTTTTTTACTTTTTTGAGAGAGACCTACTAAGTTCGCTTAATTGCTAAAGTTGGCCTGGAACGTGGATCCTCCTATTTTAATCTTCCTTAGTCACTGGGATAATTGGCATGTGCCACAACGACAAGCTGAATCCTGGTTTTCAAATTAGAATTTAATTTTTTCCAGGCGACTTTTCTGTTTAAGGCACTGTCTCACTTTTTAGTGTACTCACACATAAGTAATAAGTAATCTGGTCAAAACATGAGCACGTTTTGACAAGACCATTGATAAATGATGACTAGAACTCCCAAAATGCACTACAGGGTCAAGGTCTGCACCTCGGTTTTCATCATTCGGGATAAAGGGTTCTAAAGACCGTGTTAGATAACAAAGGGACTTAATAAGCGACATGTACTAAGACCCAGTGAGTCACCTGTATCCACTACACAATGTATGACAATATGAATGCCAAGAGAATTCGTTCTTCGCTTATTCAGTGCGCAAGACAGAAAACTCAGGAAATGCCCGCAGGAGAGACTCGAAGGTATCCAGTATTCTCTGATGGGTTAAGAAGGTAGCTCCCCGCCACTCCCCTTATCTACAGATTTATTTTTCGAGGTAACATAACCTACTGTATTTTCATGAAGCGGAAACGTTGCTTTTCAAATGGCCAACTAATGGTAAAAGGCATTGGCGGGAAATAGGAAACTGTCAACACTTGTGTAGGACATAAAAATCTCCTAAAGAACTGGTATCCATATAACATTTCCTGGACCGAGGCTCAACTGTAATAAATTATTATATAATGAGTTTTAGTTAGGCTGAAAGCGCTCCACGTTCCTTCGTCTACACAAGAAAAAAAGTTTAAATTTTGTCTCTGGCTGACGGCGAATTTCCACTAAGGATTGCAAGCACGTCTCTTTCCTTTTTTGCTTCGGGTTAGTCCTGTTCAAGGACATGTACTTCTCAAGCTGGCTTCACTTTTCCTCAAAACTGGATCTGTGAGCTCGCGTGCCAGTACCAGTCCTACCAATCCCGAGCCACACCTGGCTATCACGCGCCGCACAAACAAATCTCAGCGCCGGAGGAGTCGCGGAGTTCGCGGGAACCTCCCGTCCAACCGAGATCTCGCGCAAGTGGAGGGGCCGGAAGTGGAGGAAGGCCTACATAGCCCCTCCCACCCCAGGCACACCCCTCCTCGCGATAGCGCCAAGCGTTCGGGCCCGGGAAGCGTGTGCGGAGGAGTCCTTGCCTTGCACTCGTCGGCCGCCGTAGCCCCTGCTAGGACAGCCCGTGCGAGCCTGCTGTAGGAGGAAGAGAAAGGCAGAGAGAATCGGGTTACAAGATGGCGGATCTGTAGTAGTTACCGCGGCGGCGGCGGCGGTGGGAGAGCGAGCGAGCTCTGGGGGGCAAAGGGACGGGAGGGTGGAGGTGTGCGGGGCTGAAGTAAGAGATAACGGGGACTCCGAGTGGAGGGGTCTCAGTGGCTCTTGTCAACCCTTTTCGCGGCTGAACCTCTGGAG